AATAATAATAATAATAATAATAATAATAATAATATCATTATCACTAATATCATTATTATTTACTATTATTTTTATTTATTTTTTTATAATTTGCTAGCAGTATTTCTGCTATCGTTATTTTGTTTATTTTTAGTCTTTTCATTTATTATCATAGTAATAGCAATGGTTACCACGACTTTTATAAGTTATATTGATTAGCAGCACTACGAGAAGATAATTTTTAGCAACCTTTTTTTAATTAATTTCTTTTGTCAAACAAAAAAAAAAAAAACTTATTTAATTTTTCATATATTTTTTCATTCGGCCAAATGATTTCTCAAAGTTGTTACTTTCAAAACGACAGCTTAATTTATCTGCATCTTATGACACCTCTAAATTTTATTCTTTTTTGCCTAATCCGTATTGGTTTGTAAGGATTTCTCGTTAATAATACTACAATTCCAGCCACGATATTATAAAGCGTACTTCTGAAACTTAGCCTCAGCTTACATGTTTCTTTGCTGCGAATTTGTGTTTGTGTTACATTTCATTTGGAAAATGCCAGATGCCAGCAACTAATCTTTTAGTAGGCTGTCTTTGAACCGTGAAACGAAGCAAATTATAGTCTGAATTTAATGCATTTATACTGAAAGATTTAAGTTTTGTTAACTAGAGAAAGATACGCAGTATCGGTGGAGCTTCATTTGCAGATATGAAATACTCTCTCATATGCCAACTTCCTTTGTTTTTTCAGAGTAACCTTGTCATTTTTAAATAACCAGATAGTAGAACGAGAAGTATTTGACTAAGGATAGTATTTTGTTTGGATTTTATTGATTGATAAGAGGCACACAAAATTTTCAACATTTTTAGTTAGGTCGAATGGATACGAGAAGTTGAACTTCTGGAAATTATAGATTTTGCAAATTTTATGGAGTGATTAAAAAAAGGAAAGTTCCTTGTTCATTTTTCTTTTTAAGTACGGACTATTTTTGAAGAAGTTTTCTTTTGTATTTGAGCTTATCAGTGGCGTCTGCTAAGTCAGTTTTTGTAAAATGTTAGACGTAAACGCTGTTTATTCTAGTTCATTTGTTGCATATTCAACAGCACTTTTTAATATGGCTTTTGCAGCCATTTTTTTGACAATGAGAGATAAGGGAAGAATCAAAAGAAGGGAGAAATGGGATTGAGGGACAGGGAAGGTTGGAGGGGAAAGGAAGAAGTAGGCCACAGTACCAAAGAAATTACTCCAGTTGAACCAATATGTAATTATAAATTGATTTTAGGAATTCATTTATCTTTTATTCATTTGCTAGAAAGCTCTTAAAACTTTTAGATTTTTTGAGAAAAATAGTTAAATTCTTTTCTTGATTACTCTAGATTAGTAATAAAGTGAAAACAATTAAGATTAGAAGCAAGAACGTCAGCAATTACATCAGTAAACTGTAATAGCTCTAGGTTGACAGTTTTACAACAAAGAATTAATGTTATTTTTAAGCCTCTTTTTGGGCTCCTCGCCATAGTTACAGGCATTGTCTTTAAGTTCTTATTACAATTATGAATTCTCTGGTTACTGTTTTTTTTTGTTGTTAGTAGCATTTTAATTCATTATCAGAAATACCTTAAAACAGTTTGCTGCTTGGGAAGTTTTTTTTGTATGTAGTTTATATCATTTTTTCAAAATGATTGATATTTTATTAAATGTTTAAATGGTTGTTGGGAACACTGTATTGATCACTGCTGAAAGGTGTAGAAACAAGGTAAACTTCAAGAAAAATATAATTTTTTTTTTGCTTTTAATAATTGTCTTTTGCGATATTAATAGTATATTCGGTATAAACACTAAGTTCGATAGATAAAAATTGTTATCAGAAGTTTCTCGAGACAAGTTTCATCAAAAGTTAGATTTTTTTTTAGGAAGTGGATATTGGAAAAATCAGTTGACATTTCGCTTAAATACATATCCCTACAATTATGGCCAATAACAGCAATCTCATCAAAGATAGCAACCGTAGTTATACTGTTCGTCTGATTTCTGTACTTACTTAACTCTTTTGAAGAGAAGAAATCCTTTACCTGTGCTATACTGTTGCTGTTCTTTACCTTAATTCTTCATGCGTTCGTCTTTCATTTTAGTAAGCTCTTCAAAGTCGTTACTATTGTTTTTCAAGCGGTCAGGGGCGATAATGACATTTTTTTAATGTCGATGATAGTTAGTTGCTCTTTTGTTGGAAGCATGAAAGCGTTATCGATGATCACCTGTCATCTAATTGGGCACATCCTTTCTTCGCGAATGATTATCGAACACGATGCATCACGCACAATTGGATATTTTTTTAAATTTGAACTAGAACTGTTTCTTGTTTGGTAGGCTCGCATTCAACTCAGTTTCATTCTTGAAATTATTTTAATGCAGACTAACTGTACTTCATGAGAGACTTGTAATATTCGTGTAATTACTTTTTGTGCCTTATACATCTGAACATCAATCGTCATTCTTGTTGGTGTCTTTATCGTCATCATCGTTGTTGTCATTGCCGATCAGTTCAAGAAAGCTCAAACAGAAGAGTTGCTTGATAGTTTGCTGTTGAACAGGTACTGTTTCGGGTACAACCATTTAACTTTTCCTTTCTGTTCTGGCTAATTGAAAGTGATGGAGGCAATCTGCTGATCGTATTAAAGCCTCAAAAATAATGAAGATGTAAGAGAAAGGAAAAATTAGTAATGTTAATGACAGCACTTTAACACTTGAAAAAACAAGCTTACCTAAACTAATGTTTTAAGTGGCAGAAAAAAAATTTTTTTAGGTTTGTGATATTCCTTTGCTTTTGAACTTTTTTTTTTTATTTTGAGGTTTTGATAGCCTGTGTGTCTGCGTTGACCGTACCGTACGATTTGTCAATAATCCTGTTACGTTGGCATTCTATCATAAAAACGTAGCATTCATTATAGGGAGGCTTTTTTCGGGTACTGTTCATCTGTTATTCCATAACTGTTGTGATCTTAGAGGATGCTGCAGCAGAAATTTAGTTTACTGTTCAGGTAATTTTATGACCAGGGACGGTTTTAAGTTGATCAGATTATCGTCAGCGTGCGCATAATTGTTAACTGAAGCTTCCAGGTTCTAAACATTTGTTCACTAAAACGTTATTTGAACAGCTAAGATAGCGGTAGTCATCTCTTCTAGACATTTTATGGTTTCTTATCTAAGGACTGAATGCTTTACTTACAGTGCTCGCTAATGCTTAGCCTTACAGATGTGGCTTTACCGACAACTGGCAGTGCTGATGTAACGTGGAATTACGTTTTTAAGAGTTACGTGGCAAAGTGCGATCAGTTAAGAACTCGGTGTGACCGGTTAAAATTTTGACAGCAGCTCTGCTCGGGAAGGAAGGCATACAAAAGGAATAATGGAGGGTTGTGTGTAAATAGGGAAGGAAAAGAAATGATCGAAAAATCTACAGGAAGCTAGGGACAGGTGGATTGATGCCAATTGTGCGGAGCGAATACCAGGAGACTATGAAATTTGAAAGACCTGAATTATTGTTTGAGCCTGTCGTCTGTTTTGATGGTAGTGTCAATTGCAGTTTCTAAATTAACGTTTTGAAGTTTCTAAATGCTGATTTTTGCATCATTGACGTTAACTAATTATATTATATATATAACCAAATGTATAATTATATATGGTTCTTTATTATGTATGCCATAGCTGTTTGTTATTGAGTGTTCTGATGTTTCAAGAATAACAGGTGTATACATTCATCTACAGTCTCAATAAATTGTAATTTGGCGGTAAGTCATTGATTAAATTGGATGAGTTTGCTTTGCAATTGTAGTCATACCAGACGTTTCAATCAGTTGGTATTAAACGTATAGTGAAATTGTGTACTTCTTTACAAAGACCACATAACGGTATATTTTCTATCTCCGTCTCATTAAACTGCTGATGCTAATCTGTCCGTAAATTGTTGCCTAATTTATTAATCTGAGACACAGTTGTGGTCATTCCATATGTTTCAATTAATTGATGTTGAACATATGAAGAGATCGTGTAATTTTTTGTAAGGACTATAAAACAGCAGTAGGAATCCAGAACGCCATTTTGTGTACAGCTATACCGGATAAGAGGGTATTGAAACGAGAAGCGAGGTCGGCCAAAAATTAAAGTTAGTTGACGTCTCAAGTGCTAAAAAAATTTTTGTTTTTGTAGCTCACTGGCTACAGATTCTCATATTTTCATTATTAAACGCAAAATTACAAATGATTCTGTTACTGCCGTTTGTTTGTAAGTAACGGTTTAGTTGTTAAATCTCTTTGGCGAATTTTTGGCTCTGAAACATCAAATTCAGAAATGGATTAGAAGTTGAAGCCGTTTAAAAGTTCTTTCGCTGTTTATACTTGGGTTCAGGATAACTCGCATTACATTTGGGTCTTTGTTTGCTTTACTTTATCTTCGTTTTTGCTTTTTTTTTTCATTTTTTTGACGCCCAAATGTTAGATGCAGTATTTCATTTGTAGATTTTTTGTGTCTGAAACCAAATATAGGAAGAAAAAAATGCTTATTTAGCGCTTGTGTAATCTCGCATTTATCATGTAACGAACCCTTATCCAACTGTATCACGACTTCGAAGATTTGATTTACATTTTTTTCTGGAGAGGTTATTGGATTTATTTGAAAGTTAATTTTTTACTTTTAGGTAGAGTTGCAATGGGAATGATAATTTCGGGTCTTTTTGGGTGGCTATTTGGGAAGAAACAGGTACGTATATTAATGGTTGGTCTTGATGGTGCAGGAAAAACAACTATATTATATAAATTGAAGCTTGGTGAAATTATTACATCTGTCCCAACAATTGGTGAGCTGCATACTGTATACTCTTTTTTAGAAAACTATGTGATACAGTCGTTTTGAACAGTTTTGCTCCACCGTTACTGGTCTGGTATTTGTAAGGTTGTTACTTGGAGCCGTTTTAGCTTATAGACTAACTTTTAACACTTCAAAATGTGCTTTAAAACAATATATCTTTATCTTTCGGATAATGATAAATTTTATGGTAGAATGTTTATGATCCTTAAGTCTATTAGCGGCTTCCGCACTATTTTTTTTTGATGCTTTAGGGAACATTAATTGAAGTGTAGTGAATAGCATTTGTCTTTGTAGCCTTCAATGTAGAAACAGTTGAATACAAGAACATATCGTTTAATGTATGGGATTTCAGTGGAAATAGCAGAATTAGACCTTTACGAAGGCATTACTGCGGAAGTGCGCAGGTTTGTTCTAATGGATTTTTTTTTTTTTGCCAGGAGTCAAGCTATTGGCAACCACAATTAGTATATTCTTATGTTACAGGGTTTAATTTTCGTTGTGGATAGCAGCGACAGAGGACGAATTGAAGAGTGTCGTGAAGAGCTGTACAAATCTCTTAGTGAAGTAAGCTGTTTTAGCTCTTATTTGTGCAGTAGTATTGGAATCTATAGTAGTGCTTCTTGGTTTACATTAGGCAGTTTTTGCCATAATTTTGTTTTTTAGAAGCATTTTTCGCATAAAAAACCTTTCTTAACACTTCTTGATTTGTTTTCTTATAGTTGATACTCCTTGTTCCGTTTTATCTTTTAGGGTCTAGAGAGTTTTAACATGTATTCCTTTCTTTCTCAAATACTACTTTTCTAACATATTAAATCATTTTTTCTTTGTCGTACACTGGTAATTAGTCACTAAAGTACTTTTTGTGGTGTTAGTGACTCACTGAGTTTTAACTGTTGTACATCAGAAGTTACAGGAGAAAGAAGGAAACTCTGAGTGTGTTGGTGTAGCAAAGTCAGTGGGTAAGAAATTAGAAAAGGTGTAGAAGTGTTTGATTAATGGAGTTTGAGTTCTCGAATGGTATTACGAAATGGTCTTCACAAATGGCTTGATCATTATCTACTTTGATAACGAATTTATTATAGTTTTCAACCTTTAACTTGATTGTAGGTTGATTCAGAAGATGTTAAGCTGCTTGTTTTTGCCAACAAACAGGATCTGTCAAATGCTATGGGTGTTGCGGAACTCACGGAAAAGCTTGGTCTTCATAATCTTTGCTCAGGAAAGGTAGTTGATGGGTTTGTTATCTGAGTGGTTGTGCTGTTAAATCACGGTATGTAAAAGTCAAATATGTTTTGTCTTTTTGCGTCGTTTCTACATTTTAAATTTTTTTTAGTGGTATATTCAAGGAGCTTGTGCCACCCAAGGTCTTGGGCTCTACGAAGGATTGGGCTGGTTGGCAGATCAGATTTCAGAAGGCTAATAACGTTGAGAGCAGTTTCGTACCTTATCATTTTTTTTCGTTTTTTTCTTTGCCACTATTTACTTTATGTGATCTGTGATGGCTGACATCAGTCTCTTGCTTTCCGGGTATTATTTTTATGCCTAGAAATGATCTGAAGGTTCTAGTCTGCATTTGTCGAATTTTCTTCTTTTGCTCCACATTTTGGTTTTAGGTGGAAGGTAGAAAAATGTTCATTTTAGAAGAAAGCTGCTATGAAAAAATGATTTATTGTTCAATTTATGACATTCACTGGAGATTTTTTTTTGTGTGGCTTGTTTTTGGACATTAGGTCAATTATTATTGTTTTATTTTTGCTTCAAGTGGGTGCCTCAGAAAAATTATGTGTTTCACACTCACTGTGAAATAGACGTTATGCAGAGGTATTTTAGACTAGCTTGCTGAGTAGCATTGTCTAGAAAAAAACTTGCTGGACAAAGGACTGTTTTTTGTTTGTTTCAACTTTTAAGACTCGGATCTGTGAGCTTTCTGTCTAAGATTGAGGGAGAGGAGTTAAAGTTGATCGACTGGTCAGCTACAGCAGCCTTTACTGATGTAATTTTGAGGTTATTGGTACTTTAGGGTACTAGTACCGGTAACTTTTTTTACCAAAGTACGCTGCACTTCACTCACTCTGACCACTGTTAGGTATTTTTTTCAAAGTTTTTAAATACTGCGGTCTCTTAGTGCCGTCCCTGTTGTCTGTAATTAGTTTGTTTATCAATGAAGATTTATTTTTTGTTGAGCCTTCAAGACTGAACTTTTATTTAGTGCGGTAAAAAGAAAAGCAGAGCAAAAAATCAGTGTAGTGGAAGTAAGGTGATCATCAATGCTTTCATGGTTCCTTCATATGTGAAAAGGATGTGGAAAGCATTTTTGTATAGTAAATATCATGAAAACGATGATGATGATTTTACTACGTATGAGTGATATAGCATATATCCAGCAACAGTACAGTATTGTCGTGCTTTAGCGAACAAACATTTTTAATAGAATTTTTGTTTTATTTATGTTCCTAAATAGTCAGATAAGCATTGATGAGAAGGAAGTATGATTAATAGTTGACAGAAAATCTATTGGTGTGAAAGGTTTGCACAGAGCTATTAAAGCATTTTTTTTATTATTAGGCGAATGCGAAAGAGCGACTTATGTTCAACTGGAATGTATATAATTGAACTGCAAATTGTATGTGTTTGGAATGCTGGTAGAAGCGATGTTAAAAGGCGGCAAGAGAATACAGAAGAATGGGGGGTGGGGGGGAGTGGGGAAAAAAATGGGAC